TGTGTGTGTGTGTGTGTGTGTGTGTGTGGGTGTGTGTGTGTAATATGCCTGATTTAAACTTACTGATGGTAATATCTTTGTCTGGACTGTTCGATCTGCTTGATGTTTCTGTATACCAACCCTGATTGTGTTTATACTTCCTCCTTGGCCTGCATCTTCCAATTTGCTCTTTGGATTCATGATACAAAAATGTCATCTTCTTCCGTTCCTGACTAACCTCTTTGTAATGACTAAGTTTTTTGTCATGTATCATTATCTGGCTGCTCTTGACCTGGCCTCTCCTTTCTTGTTTGTGTTTTCTTTTCTTTTGTTTTGTTTTCTGTAAGAACTGTGATCATTATTGCTAGCAATTGAGAGCTGCTTATGTGCCGGGCACATTATAATCGGCTTTTTAAATATTCATGTCATTTCATCCCTACAGCTGCCCCGTACAGTTTAGTATTGTATTGTCCATTTACAGATTAGAGCCCGGCTGGGCGTGGCTCAGCGGTTGAGCATCGACCTAGGATCCAGGCCATTGGGGTTCGATTCCCGGTCAGGGCACATGCCCTGTTGCAGGCTTGATCAATGACTCTCATCATTGATGTTTCTATCTCTCTTTTTCCCTCTCCTTTCCTCTCTCTGTAATCAATAAAGATTTTTTTTTTAAGTGTTTAAAAAAAAAAAAAATTAGAAAACCGAGGCTCAGGTAAGTGAAATAACTTGCCTAGTGTTACCACCGAGTGATAGATCTGAAATTAAATTTTCATTTGCCTCCAAAGCTCATCCTCTTAAGCAGTATGCTGTATTATCTTCATGTTGATGGTGGTGATGATAACTGTCATATGTTGAATATCTACTGGGTGTTGGGCAATTCATTTGCCACCTTTTGCCTCCCCTATTTTACAGAAGTGGGAACTGCTATTGTCTATGTTCCACTTTTAGGCTAATAAATATAAGTGCCAGGGTTCAAAGGTATTGGACATTCTTACATTGGAGCATTCTTTCGATGTATTTTTCCTTTTACTCTGTTTCCTATATTAATGGTCAATATCGTCATGTTTTTCTGACTACTAACAGTATTAACAATTAAATGTTGCCTGAGTATTTCTACACTTTTTTTCTTACTGATTCCTTAGCATTGTTGTTTTCTTATTTGTTACCTTTGCTGTTTTTTTTCTCTGTATCAAAGCAGATAATGGGGGGAAAGGAGAATGTGCTAGGAAAGGCAAAAGAAAAGTCCAGATACTAGAAATCTTTCTGTGATCTCAGTTTGGAGAACAAAGAGTTAAACTAAAAGCTCTGTGTTGTGGGTAGCTGTCATTTGTTGAAGGAATACTAGGGCTTCAGCACTTAAAAACTTGGTGATGTAAAACATGGGATTTGACCTCACTAGCTTTAGTTTCCTTTTCTGATAATAAGGTAAATAATATATTCTTCACAACACATGGTTAGTTGTGGTGATGGTTAAGTGAAATAACCAGTGTAAAACTCCTTAATATAATCCTCAAATTGTTAGTTCCCCATTTTACCTTCAAGTGTTAGTGAAATAATCCAGAGCATGTGGCCAGACACTGGTAAGTTTGTGTTATGTGTGGTTTTTTTTACATTTCGAAAATTTAGTGTAAGCATACACAGGCATGTGTATAAATAAAAATTCATCAAGTTGCAGTCTTAATGTTGATGGATTTGCCTATATGTAAGTTAGTTATCTCTCAATGAAAATGAAAAATCAGTATGCAGGCTAGACTTTGGTTGCTGCATGTGGTTAGCTGATATTTCCATGTATTATACCCAACATGTGGGACTACTTCCTTGTATTCCTCAAGATCAAATATGGTTATTGAGCTTTAGCAAAAAGAGAAATATTGTATAATACCTTCCAAATATTTATTTCAAGTTTATTATCTTAGTAGTCAAAATTTTCAGAAATATTTCTTTTTATTTTTAGAAAAGTCATACTCAATCCTAAAATAATGTTCCTAATGTTATTAATTGCAAGTATGTAGATCTCATCCTGCTTTGGGTATGCCACTCAGAGGTAGGACATACAATTTTAGAGCAAGCAGGGAAATGTGAGAATAGTCTGATACTTTTTAGGCAAGCCTATATCTAAAACATATCTTTGAATGGATGTCTGCTTCCATTAGCCTGCTACGCAAAACACTGATGGTTTTTTGTGTGATTACATTTACAAGTTCTTTGGTAGACTCTTGAGCAAGCTCCCTTTCTTTTATGTCTAAAGCCTGGAGAGCAGGAACCAAGCTCAATATCAGGAAAAGTAGGTGTGGACTCTTAGGGCTGTGCCGCTCAGCAGCTAGAATGTGGTTGGCAGTCTCCTCCCCTTCCTGCACTTCTGCTCTTCACAGTGTGCACCCTGGAATGACAGGCATTCCTGTGTGAAGAGAGCCAGCGTGAAGACGCACTTATAAGAACCTCAAGTGCCCGGGCCGGGATACAGGGAAAGAGAAACTCCGGCAGATTGACCTCATGCCATTTCCTGATGTTTGGCAGTGACACTGAGAGAGGAATGCGCGTCCCCTCCTTATGTGGATTTATCTTTTAAGAAAAGTTCGCTTTGGTCCGGGACAGTTTGTTGTCGTGAGATACATCAGACAATATAATCATGGGGCAAGCTGATGTCTCCAGACCGGTAAATCCAGATGCAATTGGTGAGTAATAAAAGGCAAAGAAATAAAATCTTGACAGACAAGGCAGATCTACAGGTGAAGTTGAATATTTTACAGGGATTTAAATGTAAGGATTTTGATGTTTATAACTTTGGGACGTTTATAACTTTGTGAAGAACAAATGAAAGCATGCCAGTTATTTTTCACTTAGTTGTATTAATCTACCACACATAGTTTTGTTTTACTTGGTCCCTTTGGAGTTTTTTTATATAATATTGCTAGGAAACCATCTGTTAATTTCTTAACCTTTGCAGAAGTGCTACAGAAACTCATATTTAGAATCCAGTGGTGTTTTGCTAGTATTTTTCAGGGCTTTGGCATTTGATAGATGTATGTGGTGTAGAACTAGAACTGTTGACTTCTATAAACAGGACCTTTTTAAAGAATTGACTTAATTTTTAGACTCAGTTATACAATTTCCAAGTAAGTCTCAGGCTTTTTCCATTGTGCTGGTGTTTCCATTTCTCATGAGGCAACACTTTGGTATAAATATTTCTGAAGTCAGAGCTTTACATTTGAAGTGTTATTATCGCAGAGATAGCTAGAGATCAGGCTGATTATTGTTAAGGGTAGCTCAGAGTTTCAAAGCTTTTAAGTGAAGTAGAAGTCCATTGTTACTGAAGACTCATTTTCCCAAACTTCTGGTGTTTTATATAAGGTGAAGATGGAAAGGTGAGAAAAATAGTTTTAAACGGATGTTCCTTAAAGGGTTGTTAAATATAAGCAAAGTGGGGAAAATACTGTGAATCATTTCTTGACAATCTATTTTTAAAAAAGATTTATACCTTCTCTTTGAATTAGAAAGCAAGAGAAAACATGTTCAGTCCTAGGCTGCTTTTTTTTTCAGAAATGAAAACTGTTGGTGACTATAAAGAAAAGTATAAAAGTGTGGGAACACAGGTAACACTCCCAAATGTCTCATGATTTCGTGTGATTTAGTTTCTAAAGATATGTTTTCTCCTGAGAACTTGTTAGATGAAATTCCTACAAAGTGTTTTTCATGTTTTAATGAACCTGAGGCACATGGATTGCAAAGTGAGTCATTGAGCAATAGATTTTTAACATCGAAGTCAGGACTTGACTCACTTTACCTTCCTTGATCACCAGAGCTGGGTCCGTATCAATTCACTAACTCACTTTGGGGAAAAAAAAAGTTTTATAAATGAAAAAAAGGTGTAGAGAAAAATATAAAGCTCCCTCTGGGGCCACTACCTAACTTTAGAAATGAAATTTAAAACAGAGATATGTCCCACCCCACCTTAGCCCTTTCTCTGTGTCCACATTCCCTTATGATGACATTTTGAGTCTTTGCTCTCAGAGATAACCACTCTCCAGAATTTGGTAACATTAATTTTGGACTACTAAATTCTCCTGTGATTTCTACTTCAAAGATTAGTTTTTTATTAACAAGTATATTAAAGACCTAAATAGTGCTAGGCATTTATCTGTAAGGTAGAAATGAGAGGTCTTTGAAAAGCAAGAAATGGGTAAGCAGGTATAACTTAATGATGGGTGCTGATATTTATGAAGAATGCCCATCTAACATCTATATACTATATAAAAAAATTCATCTGAGTAGACAAAGTTTGATATTTCTTATGCTACTAAAGAAAAGTGAGAATAAAATTAATCAGTTTTTCTAACTACCAGGTATCTCTAATAAGAGACCTATACAGAAGAAATAGAAATCACTCAGGTACCTAACTAAAATTTTTATGTTCTCTCTAGATTTAATTTGGGGATCTTATTTCCTATTACATAGATAATTTCTAGGTGACTATATACTGTTTTAATGGGCAGACTCTGTTTATATTATTTGTAATTCAGTATATATTCTATTCGAGCAAATCAGGCCTGGGTCATAAAGGCTTAACATTGACAGCTTTGGTGACTTATACCATTGTTTTAAAGGCTTTTACCAAACATAACAATTTTTAATGAAATTAAAAAAGCATTTCAATGGGTAAGGTTTCCAAAAAGTCTTACCAGATTCTTTGGAAGGATATATATCCAAAGTAAATTAAGACAGAAATAATTTGTTTATGGTTCTAGGCCTATAATATAGTAGTAAGCTTTGAGCTTTAAAATTGATGGTACTAGTTTTGGGCAAGCCAAGTGATGTAAAATAAGTTACTGAATATATTGAATTGATTTATTATGTTCAAGGCAATGTGAATGTTATAGTAGGCCCTGTAAAGGTATAACTCATGTCTATATCCTTAAGAAATTTGCTTTCTAGTTGAGAATTTTAAATATTAAAAGAAAATTTTAAAATATTTATAAATTTTTTTGAGATAAGACATATTTCTTTTTCTACGTTAATTGACTCCCTTGACTTACGATGGACGTCCAGAGCTGTTAACCAAGAAGAGTCTGCTTTCAAACAAATAACCTTTGTCTGAGACTCATAGCAAATTTATAAGCTGTTATAAATTTGATCCTATGGTAAAAACTAGAGTTTTTACCATAGGATCTTTCTAACAACTGGTGAACTAATTGAGTATTGGACTGCTGAGTAGGAATTTATGCTGCAGTGTAATAAGTATCCTCAGCAGTTCATATTTTAAAAGTTATCCTTAAGTGAAATATGTCCATAGGAGAAAGTCTGTAGATTTACTCAAATAAAATTTTCAAATAATACTTTGTATTTCTTGATCAACATAAAAGCTGTTTCTGTGTTTACTGGAATTCTTTACTTTGCATCATATTAAAACAACCAGCTAATTAATTAGCACATGTCCTTAAATTAGGCAGAAGACCAAAGAATTTAATAAGCTCTCCCCAACCATTTAGTCTGGAATTTTCCTTCTCTTTGCCTTTCCATTTCCTGTCTCTAGTTTTTTTCTTTTCTTCTTTTTTGACTCTTCACATTCCTTTTATTCATTCATTAGCCTCTTTTTTCTACTTTTCTTCTACATAGGAATTTATTGTTTTAAAGGATATTGTATTGTAACATTTCCTCTTACCTGTATTCCTTTTTCCATTGTTACTTGATTCATTTTGCTCTGAAATCTCTATATGATAATGGGAGTAGTTCTAGGAATGATGATTTAGAAATATTTTGTAATTTGGAGACAAAATTAGCAAGGAGATTGCTGGATGAACAAAATTTAATGTAGTTATATAACATTAACATAGGAATAAATAATAGATGGGTTAATTGAAAATAAACTTCATAGGACTTTAAAGACAAACACTTGGCATTATTTAGTAATCGGAATTATCAGAGACATTTCTCATACCTATCTAGGTCTAACAGTAAATGCTTTTTTTCTGAGAAAGAAGGAGCAGGTGTACTTTGTGCATGAAATCCAGGAATGAGGAGGAATCGATAATATAAGAGTCTGTGGCAGACTCCTTATAGGATTTTCTGTTTTCAAAAGTGGAATACCAGTCAGAAATTATTGTCCCCTCTTTCTGCTCCATTGGATTTTCTGAATAACCTACTGTCACAACACTGTATCCCTTTTTCTACTTGCAAGTAAACTTTAGAAAGTTTAAGTTTTGGGTTTTTTTTTTTAATGAGAATATATTATGTTCTGGCACCTCACTATAAAAACTTACTTTCACCCTGGCCAATGTGGCTCAGTTGGTTGGAGTGTCATCCTGTACACCAGAAGGTGACGGACTCTATTCCCAGTCAGGGCACATACCCAGGTTGTGGCTTCAATCCCCAGCTGGGGCATGTGCAGGAGGCAACTTATCGATGTTTCTCTCTTACATTGATGTTTCTCCTTCTCCCTTCCTTCTTCTCTAAAATCAATTTAAAAAGAAAAACAAAACACTTAATCTTTAACTTGGAATTTTTATTTAAAAAGTGTATATATCAAGTTGCCAAGGGTGAAGCAGCATTACTTCTTGATGCAGTCATAGCCAGAAAACTATATTTTCCCAGAGTTTGAATCTCAGACCTAATTCTACCTGCAAGTACATTACATAGAGAGACCTTTTCCCTAACTATCAACTCTTTTTATTTCCCAAAGGTCAGAACTGTGTATGCAGTACTTCCAAGGAAGGTTATGGGCCTGTACTAGACAAAGCCTGCTTTGTTCATTAGTGACAGCTTTTGCTTTCTGTAATTATGTTGAAGTTTTCTAAAAGTTCTTTAAATCCAATAATTTTTTTTAGAAGGCAAAAAGGAGTAAGTATAATAGTGTAAGTACTGTAAATTAATGTTCTCCATTTACAAAGTTCTGATGCTCTTAAAATGCCTGGATAAAAGCAAGCTCTGTTACAAGCTAGATAGGCATTAAAGATAAATAAACAGACAAAACCATTAGATTATAAATAGAATGAAACACAAAATATGTAAGTCAAGTCATTATACTGTACACCTTAAACTTAAATAAAGGTAATTGGCACCTCTTAATAATGGAGTGTGTATTTTATTGCACAAAACTATAGATTTTTAAATTTTGGACACATAACTGATTATAATATAAGTTTCATGGGTAAAATGCAACTTTATACACTTTAAATCTAGATATTTTTTAAAACCCAATAAGGTGTAAGAAATAGAGGTAGAACTAAAACCCAGTAATTTTGTTGCTTATTACCAAACCTAGTGAAAGGGAGAGGGTAGTGAAGGCTATGTTGAAAAGTAAGTTTTCTTTTTAAAAAAAAAAACCACATATCTTTATTTATTTCAGAGAGAGGAAAGAAGGGGGAGAGAGAGAGAGAGAAACATCAATGATGAGAGAGTCATTGATCGGCTGCCTAGCTCACAACCCGGGCATGTGCCCTGACTGGGAATCAAACCCTGATCTTCTGGATCCTAGGTCGATGCTCAACCGCTGAGCCACGCCCAGCCGGGTGAAAACTAAGTTTTCTATTGACTCCAATTGCCTTTACCTTACTTTGCCTTCCAACATGGATGATTAAAATTGGTTGTAGTACAGATTCTAAAATGAACACTATCTTTGACCTAGGGCTTATTGTTGAGCCCTGTTTTATCCCTTATTTCTAGGAGGCAATGTAGATAT